TCAGTCTATATTAAGGTCAGTCTATATCAAAGGTTAGTCTACATTAAGGTCATTCTATAGCAAGGTCAGTCTATATTAAGGTCAATCTACAGTAAGGTCAGTCTATATTTAGGTCAGTCTATAGCAAGGGCAGTCTGTATTAAGGTCAGTGTACATGTGGCATCCCAGTTGAAATGTATTCACAGGAAGCATTGGACATACATATTTATTGAAGTCAATATACATGTTTTTGTATAAGATGCTGAACATAATACAATCAAGATTCATGCCATATACTTTGACAACCTTGATATGAAATTTTAAGTGTCATTAATTGTATTCTGTAATACATTGTATAAGGAAAAATCGTTCGGCAGTGATCCGGAAAATTAAGACAGAGAAGAATGTTTACAATGATAAATATTTATTTACAGTAAATACAATGAATAAGTTATATCCCAAATATGTGCACAAAATGTACACACTAGTTTAAACACTCTCAAATGAAAGATATACAACAATATGCACTGTGTAGCTTCACGCTAGACCAGACGTCAGACTCATGGAATTTACTGTAGATAGATCTCTAATAACATACATTTCTAACTTATTACAGAGCTCAATCTATGCTCAGATAATTCAATTTAGGTCATATCACACGAGCTGTCAGTGACACCTGCCTGAAAACGCTAGGCATACCTCAACCTCTATAGTCACAAATCACGAGACATTCGTATATGTCTCATTCCTAACCTAAGCCTTCGAAGTTTTAGCCCTCCGTAGCAGACCTTGACCCTGGAAATCTCGTGTTGGTTTAGTCGATCCTGATGCTTAAGGGATAGAATTGATTTCTGATCCTGACAATATAAATGTAGATTACTGTCCCGTCGTGAGAAGTTACAATAGTACGTAATCAGAAGTATATACAACAGCCTCTCACAATCACTATTACCTAACATCCTATCAAACTTATCATACTATTCGAATTCACAAATATAAGGTAACAAGAGTTAATAACAATATTACAATATAACATACAAGACTTTAAATAGACCAACTTGTATGCAGCTCAAATAGCAACTAGAGTCACGACATACCTCAATTTGTAATAATTGGCATCTCAAGTCTTCCATACTTTTCCACCCTGTCCGCAAACACACTAAAGCCAACACTATAACGCTAGCTCAGGGCTTCCATAAGCATACTGTAAATCATTAAACCTGAACAAATTCCACGTCATAATACAGGGAGATGTCAGCAGAACATACTTTTTGTTCGGAACCGATTTCGATTGGAGAGCAGCAGACTTAACATAATCCACACCAAGGAATCAGAAGTATACAGCATCTAATGTGAAAATCCTGTATATAGACACACAATATACCAGGAAGGGCTCAGACATAGGGTTGTGAAATAAATATCTAACAACGTTATGATACATCGATATCTATCTATCGCGCAAACACGTGTAACAGATATATCACATATGGCCAAAGTTTTAAAAAATGAATATAACAATCAATGTAACGATGAGGGCAACTGCATTTGTGGGACCTAAAAAAGTACACATTTTCTGTGGCAGACTCTGAAATCCCTTCAATTCCGTACGAGTCAAGGAATGTAGAGGTGTGTTTAAGGATAGTATGGTTAAATAAATGGATTCCAATATTTTGGAGATTGATCCTTTTTTTCTCTTTTGTATGATGGAAATCGATCTACAAATACCGTATGGACACAACTAAGTTGTTTTTTTTTAAATCCAATTGCAATGGACTTTGTTATCTGTTATTGCAAAGGGAGAAGGCAAAGTCAGGTGTAGGAAATAAACATTGGAGTGGGAATAAGTATTCTGTCGGATTTTAGTTTATTGTTTTAATATTTCCTATGTTTCGAGAGAAATGTAACAGTATGATTGCGATTAAAATGTTTTATATGAATACTCACACATTCTGGCGAATAATATAGGTATCATGGACCTCCTCTTTTATTTGTTTAAGTAGCTGGAAGCATGCCTGAGGTATATCTCTGCGTGCCGTAAGAGGTGAATAATTGTGGGGCACTTGTTGTAAATCGGTGAGAATTTCTCTAGTGTATTCTGTTTAGTTGTCTTGGCAAACCTAAGGACATGGTCTGCTGCATTCCGTGTATGTTCGATGACCCGATGCAGCATGAAATGTTCTTCTTATCTTCTCAAAGTATGCTCCCTCCCTTCCTTGCAATACGTGGTATTGTGTTTTCTCTTTGTCCTGTTTTCCACCTCTCTGTGCTTTATCTGGCATTCTGGCGCTCCTCTGTATACCAGTACTCATATGACCCTGGCAGTCGTAAGGACCCAAATCCAGTAAACCGTCATGTTTGCAGTGTTAAGCACTCAAGGTCACCCCTGAAATACCAGTATACAGATATCTTTGTCGTGCCGCATAACATGCACTGACACTAGTAAAACAAGCTTTTTATTGGTTTTCCTGAATAGAATTAAACAATTAAAGATTTGATAATTACAGACCTAAAATAAACTGATCATTAAAGCTTTAAATTAAGTTCAAAATCAATGTCTGCATTTTTTTTAAAAAATCAAACAATGATTTTGGCTACCTGTGACTGGTAGGTAAAATAGATCATGACGTGGTGTAAAAATAAACCCCGGAATACAATCGGCTATATATAGAACAGATAATGAGATATAAAGAAGGGTTCCTGTGTATTAAATAGCAATGTACCTGTTGTACAGATCTGTCTCTTACAAAACAGGAACTGTGGCAAGGACTTCCACAATAGTGTATAACATGTTTCACGTTAATTCTGTACGTGTCCAGAAAACGAAGCAGAATAAACAAGAAACATGCTTATTCTTCAGCATTTTCTCATTTTAGTCCTCGAGGTTCGTAACCAGCATGTCATTTTTTATTCATTCCAACCGTGGCATAGTTCAAAATATACATACAGACGAGTTAACGGGGGTTTTTTTTTAAATGTTTAAACGTTTTTTAAAAAGTTTAAATGTTTTTAAATGTTGACATATCTATGTATAAATAAGTAAATATATTATCATAATTAAGGGACTGTGAATCTTCCAACCAATATTTTGACATTACTTTCAATTACTTTGGTTTTACCTCACAGAAGCGAGTAGCTCTTTCACGACAAATTTGAATTTAGGAGAAGAGCCAAATGATTAAAACGTACTGCTTCATACTTCTGTTTTTTTCTTCCCCGACTCATAAATGATGATAACTGCCTAAGACTGGTACCCAGGAAGATTTTAATCAATAGAAATATTATTAAAGTCTAGCTTTGAAGGTGAATACCATCGATAATCATATTAAGTAATTTTATAATTTCTATTCATTGGATCTGACAATTCAAATGTCGCATATATGTTCTGACAAACCTAGGGGACTGAAAGTCGATCGACAGTGTCTACAACCTGCAATCTTAAGGACTATGCAAAAGAAATACAGGTGTATAACACCTTCCAAGTCGGATTTAGAATTAGATGCAATTTGGCCAAGTCGGGTATAACGACCGATAAATCAAGCAATGATGCATGCCGGTTGTATTTGAAGAATAACTGTTTATCTATGTAACATTAAATAAATACACTCTATATTTATCTCTTTTCATCTGTCTTAATCTTCGTGTTTAAGACAAAACATGTTGTGGACAAATCATTTCGTAGATAAATATAATATAATAAATCTATTTACAACATTTAGCAGTTCATGGGCAAATGAATTCCCACGAAATCGACGAAAATAAGATTTCCACAAAAATTAATAATTTTACAGTAGAATGGTTTGTATATACTTTAAAGTGCTCAGTGTTTAGAGTACAAAATCATGTCACTGATGTACGTGTACTGAAGCATTCTGATTATTCCTTCGCGATTTTATATATTCTCGTGTCTAATATTCTGAATGGATCATAATTCTTCAACTGATCAAAGAACACTAAAACGGAAAGAATTTGAAAATATAGAAATATTTAGACAAAGTTTTAAAGTGGTTTTACAAACATCTTTATTCAATAATCCTGAACATCGTTATACTTCTAGCGAGATCTAACAGTGGGACCACACATCGCATGCTCCAGTTTCATCCTACACAGAGACCTTTCATCCGCTTCCGCCCGGGCCAACAAGAGTGATTTATATAATCTGATACCTTGTTTTGTTAATGTAATAAAACAAATTTGATTGATAATAATTCTACCTGAGTTGAGGACTTCAGATAGGCTTAATATATACTGTACATATACTTATGATATACCTTTTTGTCAGTGTGTAAACATCTCTTTAAAATACCCATGTTAATGATATGTAATATGAATCCGATCACCTGGTGTGTAAATAATTACGACATCGATAATACATACATTTGTCACAAACATCCTACCTAAGATATCTTCCGACCTAACGGATATTTCATGAGGCACATATTTGCCAAGACGTATACATTTTGATGAGTATTTGCAAATTGGTAAAAATAGCTGTACAGTAGTTCAAGGTCAGTAACACAAAAATCTTTATTTACGTTAGGATAGAAGCTAGGATGTAACTGTTACCAGTTAAACCCTTCACTAACGTCTCGGTATAATGTCCAACCCAACAAGTCTCGCACGGCAAATGACAGTTGATGAATTTTCTTCATCTGAATTTATTTTTCGAACGATGTTTTTTTTTAAATATGCTGAAATGTGAAACATTTTTTTATTCTAATGATTTTTAACGTAGATTTGCTCTTATTCCTTATATCATACCACCTCTACGAGATATTCTGTACTTATTCATTTTCAGTAAGACGTTTTATGTCTTCTGTCTGCAAACATATTATGCATAATTGATATTTGTCATCCAATAGTAGTCTTTGATCACAAGCTTTCGGATATTTGTCTGTGTATTTAAACGTTCACTTAGCACCCAGCTCGAGACGATTTTAGATGAAATTGATAAAATATTGGTTGGAAAGTAGAGTCAGAGTGACAGTGTTTGGTTCAATATTTGGATGATGAAGTTATCTCCCCTAGATATGGCTCTTCACACCAGAAAAAGTCACGAGGTTGGAATCTTCTTTTGCTACTTCGTTACTTCCGGCGGAAGAGAGTGATAATTCTGAATCTGGACGTTTTCTCCAAGCAGACGTTATATCTTCAAATGTCCTATTTTTAGTTTCTGGTAGATATATAAACAAAAATATTCCGCAAAGTGCAATGCATCCTGTGAACGGCAGAAAAGAGTAATTTCCAAGTCCAGCCTGGAATTGAAAATAAAACAATCAGTAAGGAAGGCGTGGCTTAGACAAACAGATGGACTGACAAAATGTTGGACTTAAGGGTTGATAAAGTTCATTTAAAACAATAAGCATGTTACGCACAGAATTAAAACCCGTTTGTTCATTTCACCCTAAGTAATGTTTTAAGATCACAGCACATACCTGCATGCTCGGGAAGGCATACCCTACAGCGAAGTTTGCCACCCAGTTGACGAGGACAGAGAGACTAATGGCAGCCGGCCTGGGACCCTGGGAAAACAGCTCCGCCACGATTAGCCAGGGAATTGAGCCTAGAATACAAACCAATTTGGAGAAATGTGAAATCTTTTCTGAGAGCAAGTCTGTCTAGAAGTGATCAATTTGTTGTGGTTGATGCATATAATGACGCTTTTCTGCAAACAGTATGTAAAGTGATTTTCTAATAGAGAAACTTATGAAACGATTACTGTATATCCTATTAATTTTCGGGGATGATGTTTTCGCTATTCTGAATAAACGTGACCGTGAAAATTTAATCCGTGAAAAAATAAGACAGGTGTATATAAGAGATTCGTTAACATTTTAGCTCGCACAATTTTCATTCTTATTAAATTTGATCGTTTCATCAGAAAAGTGCGAAAATTTTGACTCGATTGCCAGGTATACGATACTTCATATCAAGGGAGCTTACTCCTGAGATAATATAGAGTATTCGATGATTTACTTGAATTTCGTGCATGGTTTATTGGCATATCAACACCTCGATAAATGTGTCTCGATAAAGGTGATGCGGTTCTGATGCCGGAATGCTACTCGGAGTCACTGTTGGTATCTATTTTATAAACTTTACTTATTTTACAAAAATTGCGAATCAAGCTTTTAGCTTATATTAATCACTCGTGATGGCCTGGATTTAAGCGCCTTGGATTCTTACTGTGAGAGGAAACCGGAGTACCTGTGGAAATCCACGTGGTCGGGCTGGTGACCTGTTATACATTTTCACGTCCGTTCTGGGAATTGAACCCCGGGCGCCGAAGCGAAACGTAGGTGTGTAAACGACTGCGTTATCCGACAACCCGACGTGTTGTCGGTATTGTTGGTATTTAAATCAGGGTTATCTGTTTATTTGGCAATACGCTATCAGAATTAAGAATGTTTATCTAAACTTGCCCAAATCACGTACCAGGAAGACAACTTACCTGGCCCAATAGCGAAGAAGACGACATAAAGAAGGGAGACAACCACGTTTGTCACCTTGACCCATTCTGCTAGATGCTGCAATTTAAAATGAAAATTCTTCACTGTTTAAGACAGAGTACTCCCCACGCATACACACAGTAAATTCATTTACATGTATTTTTACCCAGTAATGGTAAATTCCTGAACGTACAGGTATTAAGTTCTCAGAACATAGATAATTATTAAAAGCACTGCTAAAATTTAACTTACTTTTATTTACCTTTTAATGAGCTGTCAGTTTGTGAATTGTGAATTATCAAATGATAAAATGATCTCTATCAATATAATGCTTGAAATATTCCTAACTTCCTGTTAAGTGTCTGAAAGGCCAAGATGACAACACTAATGTAAACAAATAATGGTCGGCGATGGACGGGTTCATCAACAAGCGTCCTTCAACTTTTCTATTAAGAAGGTACATATATTCTTACAATTAATGGCTATTAGTGGCCAAGTTGAACTAGAGAAGAATTATATGTAAATATAGTATTGACTCTAATCTACGTTGTTATTATTAACGCTGAATTATTGTATATTGAGCAGGTACTGTAGTACTAAATGTATATATTGTAATGTAGATACAATGTCATGTGTAATCAGAAGACTATATTGTCTATATATAATAAAACATTGAATAGTTTGATAGTTGTGTATAGGTGATAGTGTGCCAGTATTTCTATATTAATATTCAAATATGTCCCTATGTGTATGGTATGTGCTCTTCTCTCTGTCTATCTCTCCCCTACTCAGCTTCTTCGCTAGCAGATCCTACACCTCGGCTTCGTTTCTTTCTCATCTGTTTCTGGACTCCTTACTTCTCTACTTTACCTTTAAACGTACCACCAGATTCTTTTCTTCTGCAAAATTTTGTAGTCGGTGCATGGAGATGGTTAAAAGCTATTTTGTTGATTATAATTTAATACTATCGTAGAACCCATTAAGATAATATCGGCGAACTGTCAAGGTCTCCGACATAAAGTTAAGCGAAAAGACGTTTTTTCATATTTTAGAAGTCAGAAAAATAATATATGTTGTCTTCAAGACACTCATTTCACTGAATATATAGAAAATATTGTAAGGTCCGAATGGGGATTTAAATGTTATGTTAGCTCGTTTAGGTCAGACTGTAGAGGTGTTGCAATTTTAATAAACAATAATTTTGAGATTAAAATTCTACGTGAAAGGAAAGATAATGAAGGTAATTTCATTGCTTTAGATATATTGTTAGATGATAAAAAAGTAACTTTAATAACACTTTATGGTCCAAACTTAGACACACCTGGTTTCTATCAGCAAGTAGTAGATGTAGTTGCAGAATTTGACAATGAGTTTTGTATAGTATGTGGTGATTTTAATTTAGTATTAAACCCAGATCTTGACTATGATAAATCATATAAGCAAATAAATAACCCTAAGGCGAGGGATAGAGTTATAGAAATAATAGATGAATTGAATTCAGTAGATATATATAGAGAACAACACTTAGATTGTAAGAGATACACCTGGAGAAGATGTAATCCTATTAAACAAGCCCGTTTAGACTTCTTTCTTGTTTCCGAAAATATGTTAGGTAATGTTCAGAAATCTGATATAAAATCTAGTTATAGGTCGGTCAGATCATTCTGCTCCGACTATTACAATAAAATTTACTGAATTTAAAAGGGGTAGAGGCCTCTGGAAATTTAATAACTCGTTACTACATGATGCAGACTATGTCGAAGTTATAAAGAATCTTATTTTAGATATTAAAAAACAATATGCCGTTCTAGTGTATGATCCAAACTCTATTGATACTATTCCAGATAAAGAAACTGAACTTCAGATAAATGACCAATTATTTCTAGAGACATTACTTTTCGAAATAAGAGGCAACACTAGAAAATTCCCAAAACATTGATTTTGATGAACTAGACAGGAAAAAGAAAGAACTAGAAAAGATCAGACAGTCCAAGATGAAAGGAAAGATTTTAAGGTCAAAGTCAAAATGGATTGAAGAAGGTGAGAAACCAACTAAATATTTTTTGAATCTTGAAAACCGAAATTTTACGTCCAAGATTATCCTAATGGTTGAAAAAGAAAATGGAGAGGTTATAAGGAAGCAAGAAGACATTTAACCTGAGATAAAATTATTTATGAGCAACTTTATTCTAGTAACTGTAATATTGAAGATGTAGATCTCAATAACCTTTTGCTAAACTATAATGTTCCAAAGTTAACAGATGTTGAATCATTATCTTTAGAGGGAAGTATTTCATACTTTGAAGCATCAGACACTTTAAAACAAATGAAAAATAATAAAAGTCCAGGATCTGATGGATATACAGTTGAATTTTTTAAGTTTTTCTGGAAACAATTAGGGAACTTTGTTGTAAGGTCTATAAATTATGCATATACACATGGGATATTATCTGTTACTCAAAGACAGGGGATAATTACATGTCTACCAAAAGGGGATAAACCAAGGCAGTTTTTTAAAAACTTGGAGACCCATTTGTCTTTTAAATATTGTATACAAAATTGCATCGGGTACCATTGCTAATAGAGTTAAAACAGTTTTAGAAAAATTAATCAATACAGACCAGAAAGGATTTATTTCGGGCAGATTTATAGGTGAAAATTCAAGATTAATATATGATATCATGCAATATGCAGAAGAAAGTAATATACCAGGGATGCTTCTAATTATTGATTTTGAAAAGGCATTTGATTCTGTTAGTTGGAGTTTTATTGATAAAGTTCTGAGTTATTTTAACTTTGGTCATGATATTAGAAGTTGGGTCAAAATATTTCATAACGAGTCTATGTCTGCAGTTAATCAAGGGGGCAATCTTTCATCTTTCTTCGCAATTAAGAGGGGCTGTCGTCAAGGGGACCCAATCGCCCCGTATATTTTCATACAATGTGCTGAGATACTGGCAATCAAACTTAGAAATAACAAAGGTGTAAAAGGTAAAAAGGTAGATAACTCTCCACTTTTGCTATCACAATATGTTGATGATACTACACTTATCTTAGATGGATACAAAAAATCTTTAAAAGAATCTTTAGTTGAACTAGAAAAATTTGCAAACATTTCAGGCCTGAAAATAAATAAAAGTAAGACACAAGTCATATGGATAGGGGACAATAAATATAGTGAGGAGAGATTTTTTCCTGAAATGAACTTGCAGTGGGGAAGATGTAAATTTGTTCTATTAGGTCTAGATTTTCAAGTTGATTTACATTTGATACCCAAATTAAACTATTACAAAAAGTTAGTGAAGCTGAAGGCAATATTAAAGAACTGGAGTAGAAGAATTTTAACACCAATTGGGAGAATACATGTCATCAAGTCTTTACTGATATCCCAGTTAAACCACTTGTTTATTTCAGTACTAAATCCTGATGATAGTTTTATCTCAAAATTGAACTCAGAATTATATAGCTTCCTCTGGAAAAGTAAAGTGGACACAATAAAAAGAGATATTGTAATTAAAAACTATATTGAGGGGGGTCTCAAAATGGTTCATCTCAAGTCTTTTATAACTTCATTGAAACTCACATAGACTTTTCACTTCAGAAGGCAAATGGCAAATATTGTTTAACACTTATGTAGATAGGAATGTCCTGATAAACTGTGGTTTGGAATATTTAGCAACTTTACAACAGAGGTGAAAAAAATTATTCTGGAAAGACGTATTTCAGTCTTGGAGAACTTTAATTAGTAAGCAATGTATGTTAAATGAAACGGTTGATATGCTAAAAACACCTATTTGGTACAACGAACATCTTAAGATAGGTAACAAGATTATTTTTATAGAGATTGGTTTTGTAAAGGTGTTGTAATTATTAATGACTTAATAAAAGAACATGATTCTAACACTCTTTACTCCTATAATGAATTTTTGCAAAAATTCCAAATTAATACAGATTTCATAACATACCAAGGTGTTGTGTCTGTTATAAAAAAATATATGCCACGTGATATCCGCAATGTAGTGATAAATTACCCATATATACCGAAAATCTTAGAAATTTTTTTTAAGCATAAAAGGGGTATGAAAGATTTTTATAACATACTCTGTAGAAATAGCTCTACAGCCACAGGGATAAACAAGTGGAATGAACTTTTTGAATTAAATGATGAAACCTGGAAATCAATATACATAAGTCCTTTTCAAGCTACTACAGACACAAAATTACTATGGCTGCAATACAGAATTAATCATAACATATTGACCACAAATTCACATCTATTTAAATTAGGCCTTGTTGACAACCCTTCTTGCCACTTCTGTAAAACTGAAAGAGAAACAATAGTTCATACATTTTGGGATTGTACTGAAATCCAAAACTTCTTACAAAACTTTGAATTTCTACTAGATGCACTGTTCATCTCATTTGCATGTAATAAGGAAACCTTCCTTTTTGGGCTTTTTAATCAAAATAGTTGTAGTAGCAAAGTAGATAATACTATCATTCTGTTAATGAAATACTATATATATAGATCAAGATGTTTGCAAACAACACTTTCTGTAACAGCAATGAAAAATCTAATTAAAGATACTTACTTTTCTCAGAGATATTCAGCGATAGGGAAGGGAGACACTTTTGTACATAAACTTAATAATGAGTGGAAAAAATGGGACAGAATACTTCCATCTACATAACCTTGACATTTTCGTCTTGTCAGGAAAAAAGTTACATTGTATCACCTTTATCTTTGTTTTAGAAATCTTTTATTGTATGTTAATAGCATAAACCGTCTCCATGCTTCTGGTAATTTATTTCCACATTCTTTTCTTGCTCTCTTTTTCTCTCTTTCTCCTCCCTTTTATTGCTATTTTTTTTCTTCTCTTTCTGATAATAAACAATGCACTAGTTTCTTTTTCCCCCCTTAAATGAAATTACAAAATATATACATACTAAAGCTAAGTTTGATGAATGAGTGGTATAGTATGCAAGTTATACATGGTAATATCTGTTGTATATTATATTTATGCATTGTTTGAAAATTGGAAAAAAAATAAAAAGTTACAAAAAAAAGTTTGACATACACTTTTGATTGATCAAGATTTACAGGCGTTGTCGATGAAGCAGAAAACGCTTAATCTTTCGGAAGACCTAGTCTTATTCTTCTAGTCTTTTTCAGGAGTGTAAAATATTGAACATATGACATACAAGTGAAAAAACATCTTTTAATAATTTAGAATTTGATACAGCAGAGCCAGACAATGAACTGAGCTGTAACATACAGCTGTTTCGTCATTGTAGATCTCGTCAGTGATGCTAAGGGCCTAAATTTTAAAGCCTATGAGGCAATTAATGAAAATACAAAGTCATGGAAAGAAGAGTCAAATCTGGACGGAAAATAATTGAATAAATTTCGTAATTTTCATATTTGTAATCTTTATTATGTTCATATTTTGCCCTAGTTAGATTGGATTTCAGGTTTGATTATGATTCTATTGACATTTTGTTTTTTCTTGTTGTTTATTAATACCTTATAATATCTAGCCAATCAGAAACCTCGTTACATTTTAGTAAACACAACTTACCGTGAGTGCTAGTGACACGGTGATCAGGATACTGAATACAAACATTCCTCCAAGTCCTAGTAGGTGGAGCGTTCGTCGCCCTACCCTATCCATCAATGGTATTGTTACCATTGTCATGGTTACCATGATGGCGCCAATACCACTGGTAGCATGAGCTGCAGAATCCTCAGATAGGCCAACACTTTTAAATAAACTGAATGAATAGTAGAAAACCTGAAAAGGGAAATAAAATATTGTTAAAGTCACACTACGTGTTCGTGAAATCATTCACTCAATAAAAAAACTGGTCAAAGCTGTCCAATAAATAAACAAATGAATATCTCAAATTTTATGACTACTTTCTAATGATGGCAAGCGGTAAATATACAGTTGTGTTCTACGGCAAAAACTCTCAGTGAACCACATTTATGTCACCAATCAAAACTTGCTGTATGTTATGCCTTTCAGGTGACACGTTATATTTGTATGTAGGAAAGCATCTAAGTTATATACAAGGGACATAACTCTTCACAATATTACGGTAACGATGTAAAACGTCTTTGTTGATATTACATGAGATACTCGCGGCTACTTTCTTCCGCATTTAAAGCTGTAACATTTTAAGCGTGCTTACATGAATTAAAGAAAACACACACACAGTCTTTTGTGACGTAGTACACAACTTACCGCAACAATACCAGACAGCTGCTGTGAGAGGTGCATTATGAAACTTATAAGGAGTGGAGTCCACAGGGACTTTTTTCTGAGGAAGTGTATCAGCGAGATCTGTTAAAGTAAACGTCAAGGCCATTTCAATATAATAAAACGTTTATCATACAACACGTTGTTCTCCTGTGATATATTTAATGATATGCAAATGAACGATGTGAATGTATTAATCAGTATCGAATCCATTGTCGTCACCTCGTCAATGTTCGGATAATTATTGAAACATTAATGATGGGAAAAACGGTGTTTATTTTCTCAGAAAAAGGTTGCATCATAGTTATCTGATATATTCCCTGATGACGATAACAATTTTCTTATTAAGAAGAATTTAGAATAGACATATTCTGTTTTGTTTCGTATTTTTTCATGTTTTAGTTTCGTATTTTTTCATGTTTTAGTTGAATGCTTTCGATGCTCACTTTGGCCTCGGACTGTTGGATCAGGAATTCTTTCTTCATCTCTTCGATGTCGTCATGGACAGCTGATGTTCCCCGCAATTTTACCAGGGCTATAATCATATAATTATACTTCTATAAGAAATCGCTGATTATAAGATTAAAAAATATCATTTGGAGAGGTATTTAAGTCCATTTCATTTAAAACTGAGTGAACGAACAGTCTAGTCGGTACTACGAAGGACAAGGAAGAAATAATGCGAAAAAAGATTTAACAAATCAAACATACCTTTAAGGGCGTGGTCTTCTTTCTCTTTAGAGATAAGGAGGTATCTCGGACTTTCTGGACAGAATGGCATGGTCAGTAGCTGTAACGCGCACGGAACCGCACACAGACCTGCAATACAGATGTGAAATGTCTACACAGGAATAACGATTAGCAATCAGCGCTAAGTCGTGAAACTGCTGCCTATTTTGCCTTAACTGTTACATTTCCTATAGTTGCCTTTTTTAATTTTAAATTTTAATTTTCTTTCTATTTTGTTCCGACACCAAAAAAAGAGGATGAAGGAATATTCATTAGTTGATATATCATATTCTTTCGATCTTCGTTCTGAGCTTTAAAAACTACGCGATGATTTACTGTATTCATGAGTTTGTGTTGATATCATTTGAACTGTTTTCAAACCATCTTTACCATTTTTTTTCTTGTTTATTTATTTATTTTTTATTATTATTATTATTTTTTTTTTTGGTTTTTTGGGGTCTTTTGTTATCTCGTTTTTCGTGATGTACCGTTGTTGTGTCTTTTAATAATTACACATCGTTAATATAGATAAGATTATGCAGATAACAAAATCGTATCAAGATAGTCTTTCAATTTGGAACTGAAATGACTATACTATCCCGCGATGATTTGGTTACCAAAGGAGCAGGTGCATGCAGAGGAATATTATACTTTCTTTCTTTTAGATGATGACAAATTATTCAGTTCCTGTAAAGGACTCTCATGTTGATAATTCAGTTTGTCATGTTGCTTACATTTCAACGTGATTCTGGTTCGCATTATGTAAGGTGATAGTTTTTGATGAATCAAGTTTTCTTTTATCGAAAGTGTCAGTGGAGTGACAGTTGATAATTAGACCTTGCTGTGACTTGGTGTTTTTATCATACAGCTATTCCCCACGTACCAAAAATATCGTGTTTGCAAGAACTGACTTTAATGGCGGAAGTAAGTATATCAGTGTTACCCAGAAGTATGTGCCAGTAAGGTTCATTTCCGAGGAGTTCCGGGAATCCAAGTATCTGTGAGAGGAGGATTCCGATAGTTACTCCGAGTTGGTGAATGACTCCTAACGCCCCCCGAATGTTTGACGTGGAAATTTCCGATAGATAGAGGGGAGTTAATCCTGTATAAAGGCCTGGAAGAGAAGATATTTTATAAAACAAAAGCAACAGGGACATTTTAATGATAGCAAGATCGAAGAAAATCATCGTTGAACATGGGGTGGAACAGGAAAAATTGTTTCATCACATCTGTTCAATGATTTTGACTGTAAATAATAATTTAGCATTCAAAATTATAAACTAGAATCAACCCCTTAACGAAAGATGCCTATAATTTTCAGAGAAAAATAAACAAAGACACATACACATGATATGTTACTGATTGTTCAGAACTACTTGATTGGGTATTTTGATGCCAATTCAATTAATATTTATCACGTTTCCATAACCAATGTTTCAATATATCCGTATATGATATACATGCAAATTAATTAAATTTATTCTGCTGAATATATAGACATATGACTTACCACTGTTGAATCCTACAAAGAACCTCCCCACGATCACCATTTCGTAAGACCATGCCATTCTACTGAAAAACATCAAGGCCGCCGCGGCAATCCCAAACGCGTTGTTTATCAGCATTCCGTATTTCCTGTTAATCAATTATAACATCGTTATGTTCGACAGGGTTGTTGGTGATTAAAATTTAAAAAAATTAATATTTCCGGATCTGAGTTTTTTTACTAAATGATATTAATGCCTTATTTTTCTCATTTCATGGACTTAAAATTTATAGCCTATTTTACACTATTACCTAATATTGTAAAAAGTGTTTTTTTGTTTTTGTTTTTTTTGTTTTTGTTTTTGTTTTTAAGAATATGTAACTAATTATCAAATAGGTTGTTGTTCGATGCAGTCCTATTTTGCGCCAATCCTTAATTCTTGGAGAAAATACCATAGAAGACGGCATACTAAATTACCTTCCGAAATAATCCGCCCACCATCCGGCAAGCAAACCCCCTAGCATTCCGCCAACGGCAAATATGGCTACCAGTAAGGCATATGTGTTCCGAATTGATTCTAATGTTAAAGACTCGCCTGTCCGTCGGATGTGTGTCTGGTTCATAAAGTCTTTGATGCTCTGCAAAACCACCAAAGAAAATGTCCATCAAAGTTTGGCAAAAGTCCTAGACAAAACTGATAAAAAATCCATGATGAATGAGAATTCGTGTCGGTTAATCTGAAATGGTTCATGAAACCACGTATGCACATCTATAGATGTCATAACTTGTATAGCAAATAAATGCGCGTTTAGGTGTAAAACGTCATAGTAATGTGTATACGTACGCCCTCTGGCGCGTTTATGTGTAAAACGTCATAGTAACATGTATACGTACGCCCTCTGGTGCGTTTATGTGTAAAACGTCATAGTAACATGTATACGTACGCCCTCTGGCGCGTTTATGACCCCTGTATTGTATCCGAACTGCAGAGATCCCATCACTGCTGCGAATACAGACAATATCAGACGTCCGGTCATCGTCTGTAATCAGAAAAAGTTAATTTATTAAAACAAGTTTTATTTAATGAATTAATTCAATGGTGAAAGCGTTTATTATACATGATACTAAAACTGATAAATCATATCCGGTTACTTAAATACTTTCCTGAACATGCATTTTTCCGCTCCTTGATTTTCCGTTGTCCAACTTAAGATTGTACCCTCTCTCAGGTTAAACGCTGTCCAAGTTGAGATTCTGACCATAACTTTACCATACATGACTTATCCTACCTACTGGTCAACCGATGTTATCACCGGTGTTACCCTGTCCTGATTAGGAACCTGACCAGTGGTTTACCCTATGTTACTTACCTCTGTCGCCGGTGTTACCCTGTCCTGATTAGGAACCTGACCAGTGGTTTACCCTATGTTACTTACCTCTGTCGCCGGTGTTACCCTGTCCTGATTAGGAACCAGACCATTGGTTAACACATGTTACTTACCCCTGTCGCCGGTTTTACCCTGTCCTGATTAGGAACCTGACCAGTGGTTTACCCTATGTTACTTACCTCTGTCGCCGGTGTTACCCTGTCCTGATTAGGAACCTGACCATTGGTTAACACATGTTACTTACCTCTGATTAGGAACCCGACCATTGGTTACCATATGTTACCCCTGTCGCCGGTTTTACCCTGTCCTGATTAGGAACCTGACCATTAGTTACCATATGTTACTTACCTCTGTCGCCGGTGTTACCCTGTCCTGATTAGGAACCAGACCATTGGTTAACATATGTTACTTACCTCTGTCGCCGATGTTACCCTGTCCTGATTAGGAACCAGACCAGTGGTTTGCCCTATGTTACTTACCTCTGTCGCCGGTGTTACCCTGTCCTGATTAGGACCTGACCTGTCGCCGGTGTTACCTGACCATTGGTTTACCACATGTTTACTACTTACCTCTGTCGCCGGTGTTACCCTGTCCTGATTAGGAACCTGACCATTGGTTAACACATATTACTTACCCCTGTCGCCGGTGTTACCCTGTCCTGATTAGGAACCTGACCATTGTTTACCACATGTTACTAACCTCTGTCGCCGGTGTTACCCTGTCCTGATTAGGAACCTGACCATTGGTTTACCCTATGTTATTTACCCCTGTCGCCGGTTTTACCCTGTCCTGATTAGGAACCTGACCATTGGTTAACACATATTACTTACCCCTGTCGCCGGTGTTACCCTGTCCTGATTAGGAACCTGACCATTGTTTACCACATGTTACTAACCTCTGTCGCCGGTGTTACCCTGTCCTGATTAGGAACCTAACCATTGGTTTACCCTATGTTACTTACCCCTGTCGCCAGTGTTACCCTGTCCTGATTAAGAACCTGACCATTGGTTTACCCTATGTTACTTACCCCTGTCGCTGGTTTTACGCTGTCCTGGTTGAGATTCTGTCCGCCTTTTCTGTTCGAGATTCCGACATTAGTTTCCGCGTATCTTGATTCACGTTCCATGGTAGAGTTATGCGTTATGCTTTGACTGTTTTTCTGAAATGAAATAACAAATTTCATGTATATTCCAATATGTTGAAAGTAATGAAAACTTTTTTCATTCAATCATAATTCCTAATATTCCTGACATTTTATTTTCATTCCTGATGTTTTCACATTTCTTTAGTTTATGTCCATGACACCCGCAAAATGTCAATTCACCTTTTTTCAAATGGGTTGCTGACATCGCTTCTTTTACGACCGAATTATTCCGAGAGTTAGAATGTACAACTGACCTAGGACTAAGTGGACACACCAGTGATCGCTAATCCTTAACTATAGAACACCAGTACTAATACTAGTGGTAGAAAGAACAGCGTTTTTCGATGCAGACAATCAGTTTGAGCAGTGCGAGATTCATATTCATTTACATTGGTTCTGTAGTGAACAGTCAAAGCCAACTGAGATTTATTTCAGCTCGAAGGTCAATCCCACTATATACCATACTAGACGGTGTCGTTGTTGTATACAATTCGAGATAAGGATTTTTGTTGAAAGAAAACCACAATAGCACAGAGCGCTTCTCTATCAATTTACAAAAAAAAAAAATAATAATAATAATAATAATAACTACTCCGAGCAGGGACTGGTACTCCTCTGTTCTTTAATCTTTATTTGAATAAGTTGTAACCTTCGACGTCTTACAATAACTTAGCTATCACCCGTCCTCCTTTTTTCCCTCCACGCTCTCTCTGAGCTACATATATGTGTGTATTAGTGATAAATTACGGCTCTCGGGAAATCGTAATTTATATCTATTAAATCGACGAATATTTTTTTACTTTTGTCTACCATTTTCTTTTAAATAATCTCTCTAACTTGCTCATGGATTAAATAAATAAAGCGTCATTTTTTCAGAACTCAAAGTAATAAGTAATAAACAAGGTCCAAATTGTTTATAAAAGAACAAACATTGGCTTCTACCTCAAACCTCGAGAAGCTTGGCTGACATCATATGTACATACACAACCATTAGTCTTCTTACTCTTACGAGTAAATTTATCTTCGGTTTCACACACTGACATAAATTTCCCCTTTTAAAACAATTTGCTTCAAGTACACAATGCTTTGGATTCCCCTTGCTGATAAGCCAATGCATTTTATTAAGATCTTCTTTAAGAGTGTAAACACTCGTGATGTGTAATGGTAATATTTTGATAGGAAATCAAACACAGTAAAAAAATTAAATAAACAAATCCAAAATTAAATTTTGAACAAGTCTATTCTGTCCTCCGCATTTCAAGTGATAATTCACACCCCGTTGTCCGGGTACTATTTAAGGCCTCTGCCCCGGAGTCATATATTCGGAGTTGACAGTGACACGGTTGCATGAAAAGTGCAATGATAAAGCTATCATTTTCAAACTTGGTAAATACAAACTTTTACTTTATATTCATTGTAGTGCTTACAGAATACTTAATGCAGGAAAATTTACATTTATCTTTGTTGATAACATGGTCATTGTTTGTATAAAGCTTTCGCTTAATATTAGTATGGTATGTTTAGACACGCGAGCTATTTATGTCATTTTAAGCCGTTTCTGGTAAGCCGGTCATTAACAATGATCGTAAATACTCGTTACGATGTTCGTAAATACTCGTTACTGCTCGTAAATACTCGTTACTATATTCGTAAATACTCGTTACAATGTTCGTAAGAGCTCGTATTTGAGCTTCTTTACCTGATCTCAATATCATATCTGACTGAGAGTAGAGCGGAATAAAACTAAAAAATAAAATTCATTAGTCATTCGGATATGTACATTTGTGTTACATATAGCTCATATATATGCTTTTCTTACAGAGAGAATACCTACGCTTTCTGTACCTGCTGTTTAACGGGTCGATTCGACACCGCATTTAAAGAAATCGTGCAAAATGGCGTACAACACATCGAACTGGTTTTCTTACGCTACAAGTCAGGAGAGTTACAGGACAGGGGCGATAACTACATATGGCAATAACATCAAGGTTACACAACACTGTTATTAATGAACTACATTAGAACAACTATTAACACCTGCCAGTTTCTACAACGAAAGATATAAATCAGCAACTTTAAGATTAATTGTCAATTACTATTTTGCCCTTTTATTCCTTTCATATAAATTCTATATAAATTCTGAATGAAAAATCATTGATATCGTCAACATGTTTCTATGGGAATTACACCTTAGATAAACATCAGTCATCAGCATACAGCTATCTCTATTCGTCCACCTGTTTTGTTGTTTGCCAAATAGAACCAAATGTCACTTACCGCTGAAATCACTTCAACCTTTGTGAATTATTATTTTTGAAAGTCTGACACAAGTTTCTGTACACATATAGGTATGCTATGCTTGATGATGTTGTTTGTGATTGTCTCAACTTAAAAAAAAATAACAGATGTCAATATTCTTAAATCTTAATTCACATTACGAAAAGACGTTACAATAAGAAGTAAGGTTTTCGAAAACGGCACAGAACATTCAGTGTTTACGAGTTAACGAGACCCGGGTATTCATTCTGGGTTAAGATTTCATAACCGCCATAACTAAAAGGCAGTTATAGGTTAATTAGATATTCAGGCTCAAAATCTACTAAGTTTATCTTAAACAAGTAGGATTGATAGGAAATAGTGTGATTTAGAAAATTCACGTGATCATCTTGTCACGTGGTAATTTTACCACGTGCCAGTACCGTCTATTGCATGTTCAGTAAACTACAAACTGATCACTTATGACTGACACCATTTAACTTAATGGTATAAATCTCGGTCACTAGGGGTTACCAGGAACACATTGTGTTGTTTATCAACCTTGAGACTCGTTTATATCCAGGTAGGGGTTAGAGTAAATCTATTTTCACAGACTTTATTACAGGTGAAAAATACCTACCTACTTATCCAATAAGTAGAACACCCTTAAGAAAGCATATGTTTACTCTGATGTTGCCCTGTCTGGTCGGGTATGATTGGACCATGTAGCTGTGCTTGAAAGCAATGACTACATCGTGGTATAAATAGTTCATGACCTGCTCTCGTAGGCACCGCATTTAGAAACTTATGGACACCTGGAGTACAGAGTACACAGTAAGGAATAGCCGTACTGGTCTATGATTCGTTCGTTATCATTTATCTCTCCTTATATACATATATATATAGCACTGATTGTTGACGGACTGGTGTGTGAAGTGGTGCTTGTAATATCGGGCGAGACATTTTGATGTCATGCGGCGGGCTTCCCGTATGTTGTTCAGTAAGATAACTACCAGCTACTACAAGGAAATCCTGCCACAAATTGAACATGACTGTTTACGAGGTGATATAGCATACTGATGGTCATTCATCGTAAGGTTACTCTCAGCCTTCGCTCATTTACCAAAACTTATGTCTTTGTCTGAACCATATGAAAATATTACTTGTATATCTATTGAACATCATTTTTTTTATATCAAATTCAAAATGGATAAAAACATAACCTGTTTGTTTCATTGCTGGATTTATCTCCCCCTGAACAGCCAGATTAATTTTGAATGATGTATGCCAACAAGATCAGTTAGGTAAAGTGTGTTGCCCAAGGACACGTTAGTGTTAGCACAGACCGACCCGTCAGTTTACTGACCATTTCTACACATTTCATTGTATTGTTTACATATCAAAGGATTCAAAATATGAATACCTCACACAGAATGAAGATGAAATAATTGTAATTATGAAATAACAGAAATAAAGAAATAAACAAATGGATCATGACGACGAGACAAATGAATGAGTATATATGTGAATACAATTAAAACAACAAACACACTCTGTCAAAGCATTGACGTAATTAGATTATCTAACTGATGTATCTAATTTCAGTCTATAGCAAATATACTGAGCCCCAAAAGTATGTCCTATTAAAGATACGTTTTCGTAAGAAATCAAAAACCGGAACTGAATTCTTTATTGATTTATTCAATAATTTGTTAAAATTGCAACTAAACAAAATGTGGTTAGATTTAAATTCATAAAATTTACTTTTTTTTCATTGTATATTAAAATGAAGGTAACCCTATGACAGGAAAATCACAAATCGGTCAATAATGTATGTGTCCGCCTTGGTTGTTCATACAGGCTGTGCAACATCCTCTTGTGGAATTGCTGACAGTCTGGAAGAATGCCTCGGGCAAATTGTTCCAGTTCTGGAGGAGTCTCTGTTCCAGCTGTGCCAACGTCAACGGAGCTCCGCCAGCAGCGATTCTTCTCCAAATTAAATTCCACACATGTTCTATCGGAGCCATTTCCGCTGAAAGAGACGGCCGAGGGAGGTATCCACATTATTCGGTGCAAGGAAACACACAGGTACTTGAGCAGTGTGGCGGTTCGCGTTGTCCTGCTAGTAAAACTGTAGTTGCGACTGTAAATAAGGGAATGACGTGAGGCCTCTACACCACTCCTGTTTCACGTTGATGGAAGACGTGAAGAGGTGTCCGGTATTGGTAAATGAAGGCACCCCATACCGCTGCCGCTGCCGACACCAATCTTTACGTCGACGCCATACCTGCAATCGGCCATCAGCATGGGAAAGACGGAATCGAGACCCGTCTGAGATGAGAACCACTCGCTGGTGCCAATGTCAACAAAACACCATCGGTGATTAAGCTTTCCCATTGAAGACGCTCCTGTCGATGGCGCTGAGTGAGAATAGGTCCTACGTAAGGACGTCAGTCTGTTAATGCCATGTTCACGTAGGCGACGCCGGGCAGTCGCGGCAGACATTATGCGTCTTCTAACTCTGATGGTAGCTGCTGATCTGTTTTCAGACTGCGTCCGGTTACGAAGGTGAGTTACCCGGATGTAGAGATCTTGGGCCTGAATTGAGCTGTCGCCTTGGTTTCCCCGTCCGGGAACAATCAGAAACAGATCCCGTATGTTGGAAGCGTTCAGCAAGTCTGATGATAGTGCTAACATGACATCACAAGTGGCGAAAGTACCTGCCT